GTTAATGATGATGGTGATGATAATATTGATACTGATCATGGTGATTGTGGTGATGGTGGTTATGATAATATTAATAATAATAATGATGATGATGGTGATAGTGGTGATGTTTATTACGATGAAGATTATGATGATAATGATGCTGTTGATGGTGGTGATAGTGGTAATAATAGTGATAATGACGATGATGATATTACTGATGGTGATGATGGTGATTATGATGATTATGATGATAATTATGATGGTTATGTTGGTGATGATGGTGATCATGATGATAATTATGATGGTGATGATGTTAATGGTGGTGATGATGAAAATGATGATGGTGATGGTGATGTCGGTGGTGAAGATGATGGTGATGATGGTGATGATGATTATATTGATGATGATATTGATCATGGTGATTGTGGTGATGGTGATTGTGATGATAATAATAATAATAATGATGATAGTGGTGACTATGGTGATAGTGGTGATGGTTATTACGATGAAGATTATGATGATAATGCTGATGGTCATGATGGTGATGATGAAGATGATGATGGTGATGGTGATGATGATGATGATCAACTCGAAGTTGGCTCACTCACGTCAAACTCAAATGAAGCTTCACACAAAAGAGAAAGTAGGTTCGAGAACAAGTCTCTCTTTGCAGCTTTTGCCGAAGAATGGAATGTTCTGTATTTTTTTGTTGATTTCTGCATTTCCCCTTTTCATGGACAATCTGTCTCGCCGAGCGGAGTCAAACCGTCGCGTCTGCCCGGTTCACTCTCGAGGGCAGCTGTTGCTGTTGCTGTTGCCATGCTGCCATTGCAGATCGGCTCAGTTGCCATAGCACCAAGGCAATCCTGCCTTAAGAGCCGACAAGTTGAGCACGACATCGGGTCAGCCAGTCGTGCCGGCTTGACGACGAGGCGACCGACGGCCTTGGCGATTGAGGCCGTGCGAAGAGCACATTTTATTGCCTCTCTTCCAGCCGGACAGCTGCACTCGAGTCTGGTTGCCGGAGCAGAAGATGGTACTTAAACAATGCCACAGC